AAACATTGTAAAATGTATAAATGCAAACGAAGCTTTCATTTAACAACGTATAAAGTGAATAAGATAGAACAGTCTTAGAATAATTGTTAAAAATAAATTATTTTTTATTTCAGTAATAACAGTATTAAATAACGGAAATTAAAGAAATTTATCATGAATAAAAAAAGTAAAAACTGCATCAAATGCTTTAATACATAAATTTGAAAACATTCAAAAAGTGGAGATAATCGAATTGTTTCGTATATATATTATATAAATTAAGTTTATATTATGTCAATGTATTATAATAAGATTTCTTCAATTTGATACTGCACTTTCATCAAACATTTTATTCATCGCTCTTTTTTTTAATAATATTGACCCTTGTCAATCGTTTGCAATTTGTTGGCGTAGATTTAATATAGCTTCATAAAAAGTAGCCACATTACATGATCTTGGTTACCAAATAATGTGATCATTTCGCAAAATAGCGAATTCTTTGAATTTTTCTGCCAGTAAGTCACTTGACGATTGATGAGAGGCTAATATCACTCGTGTCATTGATGAGATTGAGTCCTATTTGTACGAGAATGTAATCGAAAATTAGACCAAGAGAATGCACGTGATCATACAGAGCCAAGGTGATCACTTGACCGTTATTATTTTTCATACATAATGGTATCAGCTGAATGTATTTTAAAATGAAGTAAAAAATATTACAATATCACAAATATAATTTGCTTTATTTTAATTTAACCCTTATAATTAACCAAGTGTGTTTATCAGGCATTACACTGACTATTTTATTCTTAATTAACTTTACTTTTCGACCACTCAATTGTGTCTCTAAATTCCGTATACTTTTTATTCGCATCTTAGTTAATCTTTTTTTTTTATTTTATTCTAAACGCATCCATTTCACTTTAATGACAAAAAAGAAAAAATTATTTGCTGCTAATTTGGGAAGATAAGCGAATTGTAATCATAGAAAAAGTTTCAAAATCAAATATGATTATTGATTATTATCGAAATTATATTTTTCTTGGAAATGTATAAAGATTGTTTTAAAATGATTTGAAGATCATTACTTGCATGTTATTGTCGCATTTAAAGTAAAATATTCCAAACCTAATAAGCAAGCATATATCAAAGATAGTTGCCGATCGTTAATTGCACCAAATAATCGGAGTGATCATAGTTAAAGTTTGTTCTAAGTTCTTAATGAAAAAAAACTATTTTAAATTACTACCTTTCTAATAGCCACTGAATACTTTGCATAAATTAATGCTATCTTTAATTAAATTCCCTATTTTATAATATATATATTGTAAAATTTCGTAATATTTACAATATAATATATTGTAAAACAACTGTATTACCATTTTTAAATATAAGTTATTAGAAATGATAATACAGGATTTTAAATATAAAGATTTTAAATATAAATTATAGAAAATTGTTCATTATTTATAAAATATAAACTGTATTTATACAAAAAAAAAAAAAAAACTATCAAAGCATAATTTTATACCTTTTACATTTTATAAATAAATCAAGATAAATATAAAATTCTACACAATACTTACATTGCCTATTTACACAATATAAATATAATAATAATATAAAAGATATAAATTATATCTAATTGTCCGATTCTAATTGTTAATTTTCATTTTGAGCAGTTTCACTAGAAATTTTTTGCTTTATCCATGCTTTCGCTAATGCCAAGAAGTTAAGATTTGCTCTTTGGTATTCGTCTTCTGGGAATACGAAGTCGAATACTTTTTCCCGAAGCCGAATATCTTCAAGTTAATATAGATTATTTTTAATATAAATTAAGAATACTTCTTTTTAATTTAAATTTCTCTAAAACTATTTAATGTGTGTTATAAAAATTACATACTCCATCTTCTTCAACCATTTGTCTTCTTCGTTTAATTCTTCTATGCATTTTGACAATTATTTTAATCTAACTCTGTTTGTCTCCTTTCTCATTTTCGAAATCTCTCCATGCTCTCAAAAGTAATATTCTCCTTTCTTTGTCACTGTTTGCAAATAATGCACAATTCCCACGTTCAAAAATTCTACGAACTAAGGTAACATTATCAACATCATCTTTCGATGGAAAATTAACTAATTCAAATTTAGCATAAGTTATCCAAACGTGTATTATAATGTAAAAATAATTATAAATTAAGTTTAATATATATATATATATATATATATATATATATATATATATATATATTATATATATAATTATATATAATACATATATATTATATATATATATTTAATATATATATTTAATATATATATATATAATATATATATATATATATTATATATAAATATTCATATATTCATATAATATTAATAATAACATATTAATATATTCATATAATCATACTATGAAATCAAACTTACTTTGACATGAACATTTCGTTCTAATAATCCCTCTAACAGTTATCTGGTATTTTCTATTTCATTCTGAGATATTTCAAAATCTATATATGACTTCCATAATAGTTCAGGTATATCCAAACTAAATAATAAAAATAAAAATATTAAACATGTTTTTGATAAAAGATAAAAATAAAAGAAAAAGACAGCTTTAATTACATTTAGTAGTAATTTATAAAAATATAACTTAATTCGTCTAAGACACAGCTAATTCATAAATAGCTTTAGGACGGTCAAAGTCTCCTAATAAAGTTTCTAATTCTTTTAAAAACTTTATAGACATCATAACAATCAAATAAATATAAGTACAATAAAACATAAGATAAATGTAACTATAAGAAAAGTAATTTACTTTCATTCACATTGTGCAGTTTTGAAGTGCAAATTCAAATAATTTTTCATACAGAATCCTGCATCTGTCAAATTTTCTAGATTGTACCTCTAAATCATTGTAACCACGGAACAATTTGTCTTTGGGATACACATCCAATACCATACCTTGAAATAAATGAAATTAAATATTTAAAAATACAAAAATTTAATACTTATAAATAATAAAAAAAATTATTATAATAATAGCATACTAATATTTTTCTCGCTACAGTCAAATTTTTTTGTTGCATTTCGAAATATCCATAACATAGCCATATCTTAGAAAATGTGAAATGTTTATGTAGAATAAGATCTAAACGGATTCTAAAAAATAAAAAAATATTTTAAAATTCTATCTTTATATGCAATAAAGTATTATTAGGTTGGTGCGAATGAAATGTCGGATCCTTAAGTGAATATATTAAACTGCATATCTTTTTCCAAAAGCTGTTTATTTAATCAAAATATGCTCCATTTACTTCAATACACTTTTCTCAACGAGATTTTAATGCATAGATACCTGTCTTGAAGAAATTCTGATCTTTAGAATCAATGAACTCTGACATGGCATTTTTCAGACTGTATTCATTTTCGTACTGTTTAGCCCGTAAAAACAGTTCTAAATGTTTAAATAAATGAAAGTCGATTGGCGAAAGATCCGTTGAATAAGGTGGGTGCTGCAAAATTTCATATTTTAATTCATTTAATTTTGCAATTGTTTTGTACGATGTATGCGACCGAGCGTTGTCGTGGAGAAGTATTGGGATATGCCGATTAATAAGTGATGGGCGTATAATTTTCAATTTTTCATGCATTTCTTCAATGTACTGGCAATACTTTTCGGCTGTAATTGTTATTTCAGTTCGAAGGAATGAGTAGTGTATTACTCCAGTCACATTCCACCAAACTGTGATTAAAATTTTCCGTGAATGAAGTGATGGCCGTGGAGTATGAGCACAAGCCTCATTCCTATCAAGACACCGAGTACACCTTTGCCTATTGTCGTAAAGAACCCATTTTTCATCACAAGTAATGATCCAATCGAAAAATGGATCTCGATTAAATCGGGTTAGCAATGATGAACATACGTTCAAGCGATCCAGCTTATTTCGCTCGGTTAATTCGTGCGGTATCCACTTATCCATTTTTTTCACCATGCCAATTTCAGAAAGATGTCGCAATATTGTTGTATGGTTAACTTCCATTCTGGCAGCAAGTTCCCTTGAAGAAACAGTTGGATTCGTTTCCACCACTGCTTTCAGAGCATCATTTTTCACAGACGTTTCGAGCCTTCCACGCGGTTCATTTTGCAGGGAAAAGTCACCAGACCGAAATTTTTTAAACCAACGCTGCACTTTTCGATCGTTCACAGTATTCTCCCCAAACGCCTGATTTATATTGCGTACAGCTTTTGCAGCATTATTACCAAGTTATTAATATAAGAAAATTACACGAATGTCGGTTGAATTCATATCGGTACAAAATTGAAAGCAAATAACAAAAGGGAACACTTTTGAAAAAATCTTCTTTGCTAAAATGTGACTCTGGCAATGGACAGTACGACTATAAACCAGGTAATGTCAAAAACAAAAGCATAACAAAAACAGGGAAACAAACGTTACATTTAAAGAAAATCCGACATTTCATACGCACCAACCTAATATAAAGTTATCTCTCCATATATAACAATAATTTTATATAAGATAAACTATACCTGTAAATTTCTATCTATAACTTCCGTGTCAATTTCTTTATACAAAGCATAATTTATGTACAGATAGATATATCGTTTCCACGCTCTTATAAAAAATTTATTTAATGGAAAGGACTTCAATTTGACTTCAGAATTGTTAAAATATAAATATTCATTACCTTATTAGAAAGGAGATTTGCTATAGCTCGTTCAAACACTCTTACGACATTATGATTTTCTTCAGATTTTACTAATCTCAGATAGTCAAACCAAGCATCATAGTTAGAAGAATTTTTCTTGACTTCTTGCTCATATTGATATTTTCTTTTGCTAATTATTACATCTTCAATGCCTACTTAAGAATGTTATGAAATTTGTGTTATTTTTTTATAAACTTATACAAATTAATATTAATACTTAAAACTTTTTAATTCATATTTCGTATTAAATAAATCTTAATCTTTATAGTATGAATTACTTGCAAAATCACCATATTTCTTTTCGTGTATGGTATATGCATTATCTATTTCTTTTGTTCTTTCTTTTGAAAAATTGTCTAAAGCATACTTAGAAATTATTCTTGCTGTATCATGCTATCAGAGAAATATTAATATTATACTTATTATAACAGAGATACTGAATATATTGTTATCTTAAACTAATACTTCTTTCTGTCCTTCAAATCTTGCGAATGCTGTAAATAGCTTTGCATCTAAGATCTCATCTTCGAAAAAGTTTATAACATCTTCATAAACTTTGCGTCCTACATTTATTACAAAACTATATATCTCCCTATACAATTATATATCTCTACCTAACTCTTTCTATTTCTTTATATCGTAATTCAAATTTAATATATGTTTGCCATGGCTGTTAGTCAGGTCTCCAATCCATCCATCTCTCAAAAATTAGACGTATTTATATAATAAATCTCTATAAAATCAAGTTAGATAAAAAAAATAATCCCTAATTTTATTTCAAATCTTACAAGTAATATTTTCTAACATTTCTTTCATATATGTGTATTTATATAAAAATTGATTTGTTGTATGTAAAATTGTGACTGCACGATCTAATAAATTTCTGGCATAATTATTGCGCATTTCTATTTCAATATAATATAGCCATAATGTAATGTTTCTATGATCAACATCTAGCGCACGTTCATATACAGATTTAAAATAAATTGGACATATAAAACCTTGAAATATTTCTAATACAACTAAGACTATAAAATGTACTATTTTTTGAATTTAAAGTACTTTGTTCTTTGCATTGTTTCTGACTTTCCTCTGATCGGGCATATTTCATCAGATTCGTTATAACCATATGATTTTTACACATATTGTAGTCATAGATATTTCATTTTCCATATTGATAATCAGCCAATTTATGGGGATTTTATATTTTCTGCTTAGGTGGCTAAAAGGAAATACTTATAAATGAATTGTTCTCTATGTAAAATTATAGATAGGTTTAACATTATTGCATAAAGATTTTTTTCTTTCTTTCTCTTAATAGCTGTTTTGCTATGATTTAAATTTTCTCGAGTGTGTTGTTTTTCACCTAAAAAAAATTTTAATTATGAATAAATATTACAATTATAAGTTATGTATACTATAATTTATAATTATAAAATAAAATATTCTAATGTATAATAATCATTTTACCTTATCCACTTTGGGCATTTTTTGTAACTTTTCCGTGACGATGGGTAATTGTTATTCAAACCAAATAAACACAGCTTCGTTAACGCTCAAGTGAAAACATTCTCGCAACTGGTTTCGTTCTACGCCGTACCTATCGCATATGATCTTTTAACATTTTAGCTAGTAAATGCCATTATAATGGCTTTCGCATATTATCTTTTTGAAAGGTACGCCACGATAGTGACATTCGCGCAAGGCATTTTTTCGAAGGAAAGAAGTCACTATGATTACATTCGTGGATATCATATTAACTTATTGTGTACTTTTTGAATTCTTTACATAAAAATGTATAAGTAAATTATACCTTATTCATATACAGCCCTAATCCAATCTAATGTTCGATCTAATTATAAGAAATGTCATTTATAGTTTACGCGCAGAAACTTTGCACATCAAATAACAATAGTAGTATTTAGCTTTGTTCGATATACAATAGGTATAATCAGACTGTCTTCTAGCAGCTACGACTTTGACTTCAAGAAGAGTCCATGAAAGAATAAATGATTTCTTTTGTGTTCCCGACATCTTTATCGTTTACTTTGTTTTCGGCGGCTTTGTTGTTTCTCATTTTGTTTGGTTAGTTTCCCACGTGTGCGTGTGGTGGCGCCGAGGCGTGTTAATTACGTGTATTGCTGGAAAACGCGTTATATTCGCAACGAGATCGCCATAATTGCGATTATAGCCCCAAAGCATTGGGTAATTACAACGTCACAGTTATTTTTATAAAATAAAATAAACTACAAATTGACCTTTGGTATTACCAATACTTAAACTATTAGTTGAATTTAACGTTAAATACCTTTTGCACTAAGTGTGTGCGATCTTAGCGACAGGTATGGGCAAAATATCAACTAGGAAACAAGCAACGGTGTCTATCGCCACCGTGCATCTATCGTATCGGGTTAGTTATTCTCCTCTCACGCATGCATAATAATTGGTTTCGTTGGATCATAGAAAGTTGCTTTAGGAAGTATAATATGAAGTTCCACATTTCATGCTCTTGTGTGTATACATTTCTTTGATAGGACTGTTTATCTCGCAGTAGTTCGTGTTAAATACGATGTTGTCGTAACTTTTTCAAATTATTTCATGATAAATCCATAGAAAATAATAAATATAATTAACATTTAAGAATTATACAAATCTGCAATAAAAAATAAGAATTTGTCGAATATTTTCTTAAAAATAATTAATGAATACTTATATATTATATTATTTTTATACAAATTAAAACATAATTTCATTTCCACACTATCAGGTAGAACTCCCAACACTATTTTTTATATGGTTTTTTCTGTTGTATTAGTTTACTCTATCCTGCTTCAATTATCACTACTACTAATGATAAGATAATTGTATATATAATATAATATAATATAATATAATATAATAAAATATAATATAATAATACTAATACTAATAATACTATTAATAATAATAATAAAAATAAACTTTAATATTATTTATATACATCTAGATATTATTTATTACATTTTATATTATAACAATAAAGACAATCAGCTTGGACTTATCGTAGTGAAGAAATAATATTGAAAAATATACATAACGACCATAAGATAATAAGACTATGATAGCAGGTGGAAACCTACTTTTCATGATATGTTGTTTTCTTCTCCACTCCATTGTCGTCGCTGCGGCGGCAATTATAAATAACTTTGTATTTTATACATATAGAGAGATATTTCGACATCTGCTTATTCTAATCAATCTGGTGTAATACACCTAGAGTAGCTGGTAGCTTACTGTAAAAAAAACTTAGAGTTGCTAAAAGGTCTTATTAAAAATTACTTAGAGTGCAAAGGGTTAGTCGTATCTATCGTTGGATAGTCATGCGTTGAAATCATCAAGGACACGATTTGTTGAAAGTTCGCACATAAAATCATCACATATAATGACGCTTTTTACTCCTTTTGATACCATAAATTACCGTCAGCATATGTGTCATGATGTAGATAATATAAGTATATTTTTCTATTTTTTCTTATTACTATTCTTATTATTATATTATTATATTACATATTATTATTATAGTAATAGTAATAGTAATAGTAATAATATGAAATGAACTCCTACAGAGGGAACCATAACAAAATAGCACTGGGAGAAAAATCTCGTAATGTGGAAACGAACTCGTGTTTTGATCTTTTTTAAAAATAATATATATCTATGTTCACTATAATATATATACTTCATATGCATGTCATCGAACAAAATTATACTGCTGTGTCCTATTCAGCAGAGATCACTGTCAGAAATTCAATCATCATTGAAGGAAATAAATATAAGAGATTGAATAGCAATACCGTACAAAATTTTAAAATGAGGAGAAAAAGAGTAAATTTATTAATTATTTTTGTTTAGATTGATACAATAAAAAAATAATCGGAATCATTTATAGCCTCGAATCTAACATTTTTTTAATTATTAATCTAGATGCTTACCAATGTGCTATATATTGCTTATAGAATCTCTATCTTTTTAATCTATAAAATCTATAAGAAATTATAAATTTTTCCAAAATTTAACAATATGTAAAAAACTCCAATACTACTCGAAAGCTTATTAAAATGACGTATTGCATTACCGTAGCTTTTCTGTGAAACGCATTTCTTTGCATTTGAAAATATTTAGAAAATTTGACCATCGGCTATTTACGCACACAGACGAACTATTTCACGGATATAAACATACTATTGGGTTAGCAACTAAGTGATTGCCGGATTTCAAATAAGAAGGAAACGACAAAATTCGCAATCACTTGGTTGCCAATCCAATACATTCAATTGTATATATAATGATCAGAAGAGGGGATACATGCTTCTCTTCCGCCGCAAATTTCTAGTATTAAACTTTTTCATCGCGAAAAATGTCGAAAACATCATTTATTTCATCATCGAGAACAGGACTAATTTGTGATCAATTTTAATGAAGGAGGTCTTATTTTAAATATGAATCTACAATAAATAATTGTCGAATTTTTGGAAAAATGTTTTATTTGTTTATTTACTATTCTTGAAAAAATACTATTTTTAATACGATTTTTTTTGATAAAATAAAGTTTCCTCAACAATTCAGAAAAATTATGCCCTAGATTAATTCTTTGTCTTTAAAATGCGACCTCGTTCATCGAAATCGGTCAAGAATTACTCCTGTTCTCATTAATTACGTAAATCATTATAAAACCATGTTTAATGAACATTCTTAAACTAAAGAAATGTATATCTATTTTATCAAAAATGCTTTTTTATCACAAGAGGAATACTTTTATACAAAATATCTATTAACAATTGTAAAAATTTGTCAGTTAGATACAAGTACAAGTTAATTAATAGTAAACGTAGATCATGTTACTGTATTTGGCAAAAGAAAAGAGGCATTGTTACTTATAGCATATGCAAAATCACACTAGACAGATTAACTTACAATTAAAATGTTCACTGTCAATTTAGTTCTTGTCTAGTCAAATGCAATGTGTATATTTATTTGTTAAATAATACTTTTGAAACAAAATAAGGAGTTGAAAATTGTATATTATATGTTTTATATTATTTATTACATTTATTGTAGATGATGGTCATACATTAATAAACAATAAACACAGATTTATGAGTGTTTTAAATGAAATTGCAAAATTTGAATACAAATACCAATAATTCTGAAGACAATAAATGTATTACATACATTTTACTACAAAAAACAAAATATTACTGCTCTTTGTTTTTATATCACTATCATCATATATTATCATAAACAAAGTTGTTAAGTTAAGCAGTTTGGAAAATCTCAATTGCATAAAAATTATAAACAATTGTTTTTTATTGATCATCTACAAAGTAGAGTTTTGTCTGAGCTGGAAAGATTAGGTTTTGTACCTCAAAGTTTACATACCATATGTTCCGTTTCATATGGGTGTTCTACGATTGTAGATCATTATTATCATCACTATAATTTTTATTTATTATAAATAAAAACATGATAAATTGTAAATAAAATACATAAGTTACAAATTTATGTTCGTTATCATGAGAAATCGTGAGCTTTCCCAACAGACGAATGTGTCTTTGGACCAGATATCCTTTGATTCTTATATAAGTATGTAAATATTTAAAACATATTCCATTGCATAAGGTAATCTAATTAATACATTTATATAAATAATTAATATTGTTTTGAAATATCATCATGAAATTCACTTGAAAATAAATTAGATTTTTTTATTTTGCGACTGATGCTATTGCTGTCTGTAAAGTTTCAAATTTTCTATAAGGAAATGTTAAAAGATATGAAATTGCAAGGCTAATACTTTGGCCCTTATATCAAAACCAGAAAAGTCGTTTCATTGGTAAGAAAAGAAAAACAATTTCTTTCATAGCCGCATATTTTCTTATTAACCTATATCCTTCTCTTTTTTAAATACAATCTTTTTTCCATTTTTTATTTAATGCCACGTTCAGAATCATTAATTTTTCCGTATTAATGATGAATATTTTATAAAATTATACATCAATTTCATATATTGGTGCGCTGCGAATTCTTATACAGTTGTATTTTTATATTTTGAAAATAACCTTCTTGAAGATGTTTTGACAATCATAGGATAACTCTTTAACAATTTGTTACGTAAAATGACAAATTAACTTTGTGTTGTTTAACAGAAAAATATATATAAATAAATAATCGTGTAAAAATGCAGAATTTTTGAAGATGTATGTATATAGAGTGATTGATGAGTAAAAACTTTATAATTTGACAATAAAAATATCTCATCTATGAGATCACATAAGAGAACTATAAAATAATAATAATGATTGATATAACACGAAATATAATTATAAAATATTAAAATGTTTTTGATGTGTCAATTGTTAAGACAATATGGACCAATGACAAGATATCTCACATTTTCTACGTACTAAGCAAGAGTAGTATTATGAGTTAGTAGATTAGTAATAAGAGTTAATAATTAAAAATTCTGCTAGATTAATCGTAATTTCAAATATTGCTTTATGTACAGATCATTTACATTACAAGCAAAAGAAGTGAAATGCGCTATGTTTGCAGGCTATATGGAGTTTCGTGTTATTTACTAAATATCATACTTTAAAAAGATTTTAGTACGCACAATTTATATCAAAAACGCATATAATTTCAAATTATTTGTTGAAAACAAATATTAATATGACGATGTTAGAGATTTAAAAATATTTTATGCGAAAAAAGAGGGTTAGTAATAAGATGTCTGGTACGTAATATGTTAAAATGGTTTAAAAATGACATATTGTGTTTTCAATTTCTGATAAACAGATTATAGTATAAAGTGTAATTGAAAATTTTTAACATTTTAATGTTAAAAATATTTTTATAATACTATTTAGAATAGAATAAATAGTTAGCAAGTGTATAATATTAATTCTTTATTCATTGATATAATTAATGTTTTGTAGTATTAGATAGCATTACGTAAAGCTTATATGAGAATATGTATCTTATTTTCTCCTTCGATTGCCGATAAATGATGCTTTACTGATTTCTTTCTCCTTTAAGTTCATATTTCACCTTCACCGTAGATTGTAAATAACAATTTTAATTTCCTCACAACGTTCAAAAAAAATATGCTATGCGATCTTGAGTTGCCATTGTATTATTTCTTGTTGACAAGGCGAAATTTTTTTATACTCATGTAAACGAGGGTATGCAAGTGTGTGTGTGTGTGTGGGTATATACGACACACGCATGTGTGTATATGACGTATGATTAATGAAGCCATATGTGTAAATTCGTCTGCTAAGTCACATTCTTGTCAATTAAAATT